CGTATTTCATCAGCCTCTGTCTGGTGAAGGGGAACCCATGGCTGGCGCAGTAGATGTGGGTGGTCCACTGCGACAACCATGGGTCACCCGGCCGCTCAGCCTGTCCGCCAGGGTCTGCCGAGGTACACCATGCACCTTGGTAGATAAGAAAATAAAACTGTTACTAGCAGATAAAATTCACATACACATGGTAATCTCCTAAAAACAAAAGATGCCTAACCTTGGCAGCCTGGCGGATAGCCATCCCTGCCCCGCAGTCCTCCATAGCATGGAAAATGTCCACCTCACTCCACTGCTTCCTCTTGACTTTCTCCATTCTGTGGTGCTAAATACATGTAACTAAATAACTTGGCATACTATACACATTTTAGAAAGATAACTCAATCTGAATATGTATAAACATTTACATTTCAAAGCTAAGGCATTGAAAGGTGATGAACGTTTTCAGAATAACTGAAAGTGTACCCACGTTTTTTGTTTGATGTTATCTGTAATGAAAATTAGTGTCCCAATTAGTTTAATATTGATGCATACATTGTAACATTGACTAAATACTGCCTCTATGTAGCTGTTGTAAGATGAAACATAGCCAACAGTGATAGGTGTAAAAAAGTTAATGGTTCAAAGTTCCAAATACATTTTTAATACGGTAAAGCTTGACAACATTCAGCGGTTTTCGTGATATGTATTATCTAACGCTTACAATTTATTTCCTTTTTGCTGTCTTAGCAGTTCTATTAACATTTAGCAACTAAGCTAGCAACATTAGAAAATCCGTTAGCTATATTTCAGAGGTAAAAAGTTGGAATTAAATGATGTGTGGTCTGTCGCGCAGTCTAATTTTACAATATGCAGCGTGTCCCACAAAATGTGTACATATATAACTTTTTTGAAAACTCTCAAAACCTAACTTAACTTACATAAATTGCACTGAAAATCGGTGGTCAGCTAGCTAGAAGGGTGTCTTTAGTCGAAAAACGTACCGTTATTTTCCAGTCCATTTAAATGTTGAGCTCGAGGTGATTTAGTCCTCCAACTGCTAGAGAGTGTCCGAAGTTAGGGGGTGTCTGCTGTTGGGGGAATTAGCTACACACAGCCTTCATCGTTTTCACCATATTATCTAACATCATAGTCAACATAGCTAATGGAACTAACGCATTAGTAAACCCGCTACAATCATGCAGTATAGTGTACAGTCAGCAAGCACTTTAGCGGCGGGCCCAATTGGCAATAAATTAATAAAACCAAAAGCTTACCTTGACTTGGAAGAGTTCCAGTGTTGGATAGCCATAGCCAGCTAGCTAACATATCAGCTCTCTCTGTTTGAGGCGGGTGTTTAAGTATGCTAAACTAGCTAGCTAAGTAAGTGAAAGTGAAAAAAAAATACTATGAAATATAGCTAGCTAGCTCTCTCTCTCTCTCCCTCTCTTGCTTCTCCTTCATTTTTAAAGAAATGTATTTGTTCAAAACTGTTCAACTATTGTCTTTCTCTCTCTTTGAGTCGGCTACTCACCACATGTTATGCACTGCAGTGCTAGCTAGCTGTAGCTTATGCTTTCAGTACTAGATTAATTCTCTGATACTTTGATAGTGTGGACAAATTGTCAGTTCATGCTACAAGAGCTCTGATAGGTTGGAGGACGTTATCCGGAAGTTGTCATAATTACTGTGTCTATGGAAGTCTATGGAAGGTGGTGAGAACCATGAGCCTCCTAGGTTTTGTATTGAAGTCAATGTAACCAGAAGAGGATGGAAACAAGCTGTCCTCCGGCTACACTATGGCGCTACCCTATAGAGTGCTGTTGAGGCTACTGTAGCCCTTCATTGCAAAACAGTGTGTTTTAATCAATTATTTGGTGACTTGAATATATTTAGTATAGTTTTACCTAAAAATGACTGCTATTTTAATGTTTCACTATTTTTATTTTTATGAAATTCACTGAGGAGGATGGTCCTCCCCTTCCTCGTCTGAGGAGCCTCCACTGGTACAGCATCGTGTGATATAAGGAATTTATGTATATGTTATGAATGACCAAAGGTGTCTGACTTTAAAGTAAGTACATTGTCATGCGAAATAGAGTCTTTATGGATGTGTTATGAATGACCGAAGGTGTCTCACTTCAAACAAAGTAAATAGGTTATAAACGTTCTGCCGATTTATGAAGGTTCTTATGATCCACAGGTTACTGTAGGGTGTGAGAGGTTTTTAGATGGGTTGATGGAACTGCAAAGCTTGCGTTTGTGTGTGTGTGTGTCAGAGCCGAGATGATTTGGAGTAGTCCTACAGTACTTGAGACTAACGCACCAGGTATTCCTCTTCTGTTCCCATGCTGGAGACCAGGGCTTGATTACAACCTGTTAACAATGGTGCCAACATTTTGTGGCTGATCTTTCAGCGGGAGAGAGGGTGAATATGTCAAAGACCTGACTGGGTCCAGCACCACACGGTATGGCTTGTTATACACTATACATGTATATACAAAAGTATGTGGACACCCCCGCAAATTAGTGGATCGCGCTATTTCAGCCACACCCATTGCTGACAGGTGTATAAAATCGAGCACACATGCAATCTCCATAGACAAACATTGGCAGTAGAATGGCCTTACTGAAGAGCTCAGTGACTTTCAACGTGGCACCGTCATAGGATGCCACCTTTCCAACAAGTCAGTTAGTCAAATTTCTGCCCTGCTAGAGCTACCCCGGTCAACTGTAAGTGCTGTTACTGTGAAGTGGAAACGTCTAGGAGCAACAACGGCTCAGCCGCGAAGTGGTAGACCACACAAGCTCACATTGTCTGTCCTCGGTTGCAACACTCACTACCGAGTTCCAAACTGCCTCTGGAAGCAATGTCAGCACAAGAACTGTGTGTCGGGAGCTTCGTGAAATAGGTTTTCATGAACGAGCAGCCGCACACAAGCCTAAGATCACCATGCGCAATGCCAAGTGTCGGCTGGAGTGGTGTAAAGCTCGCCGCCATTGGACTCTGGAGCAGTGGAAACGCGTTCTCTGGAGTGATTAATCATTCTTCACCATCTGGCAGTCTGACGGACAAATCTGGGTTTGGCGAATGCCAGGAGAATGCTACCTGCCCCAATGCATAGTGCCAACTGTAAAGTTTGGTGGAGGAGGAATAATGGTCTGGGGCTGTTTTTCATGGTTTGGGCTAGGACCCTTAGTTCCAGTGAAGGGAAATCTTAACGCTACAGCATACAATGAGATTCTAGACAATTCTGTGCTTCCAACTTTGTGGCAACAATTTGGGGAAGGCCCTTTCCTGTTTCAGCATGACAATGCCCCCGTGCACAAAGCGAGGTCCATACAGAAATGGTTTGTTGAGATCGGTGTGGAAGAACTTGACTGGCCTGCACAGAGTCCTGACCTCAACCCCATCGAACACCTTTGGGATGAATTGGAACGCCGACTGCAAGCCAGGCCTAATCGCCCAACATCAGTGTCCGACCTCACTGATGTTCTTGTGGCTGCATGGAAGCAAGTCCTGTAGCAATGTTCCAACGTCTAGTGGAAAGCCTTCCCAGAAGAGTGGAGGCTGTTATAGCAGCAAAGGGGGGACCAACTCCATATTAATGCCCATGATTCTGGAATGAGATGTTCGACGAGCATGTGTCCACATACTTTTGGTCATGTAGTGTATTGTTGTCAAAGACCTGACTGGGTCCAGCACCCCACGATATGGCTTGTTATATTGTTGTGTCAAATTCCTGACTGGGTCCAGCACCCCACGGTATGGCTTGTTATATTGTTGTGTGCGTGTTTGTGTACTGAGGAACATGTAACTTGGTTTCAGAAGAAAGCCACTTTCAATTTCCTTATGTTGGGACTTTCATCAAGGTAAGTGTTGCCTGGTGTAATGTGACTAACATGACTTCTCTTTAGAGCGTGTGTCAACCTGCAGCACAACATGTCACCCTTTATAAAGCACATGTTTGTCATATTCGACATAGTGGGTTATGCCACATTTATGAACCCTTTATAAAGCATGACATATGGTTACAGATGCTTTGTAACACATTTATGTAGTGCTTAGGAAGGCATTATGAAGGCTTTATGAAGCCTTTATAAATTGAACATCATTTAAAGCGAGACTGTCTTTTCATTCATTATCTCTGTTACATTTAGCTGTAATCCTGACAGCCAGCCCTTACCATTCCACTCCACCTCCCTTCTTCTTTGTCCCTCACCTACCCCAAGTCCTATTTCTCAAACCCAGCCAAACAATGACAACAACAACAACAACAACGATTGTATACAGTATGATCATTGGAATTGTACTCCAAACCGCTCTAGACTTTCACTGCTAAGTACAAATACTGATTACATTTTTTTGAAAACATATCCTCTGGTGTGTGTGTGTTTTTAGTTTTTCTGGAATGGTTATGGTTATGCGAGAATTTGGATTAGCAGCAATGCCATTCTCTCACAAATAATGTAACACTATATAACACTATACTGTACACATTCTTTAAATCAATACATTGTTGGCAAACATTTTATTAATGAAAACACATCCCCTGGTAAAAACAATTTCATCCTCTCCCAAATCATGTAAAGCTATACATTCTCTCTCATTAACAACTTCGATTATAAAACGTCAGCTAAATAAATGTTCTGCATTGACAGATTAATTGGCAGACCCTATTCAAACAACACCTTTAAGAAAACCCTGTGCCCAGCAGTGCCTCTAGAGATCCAGGTGCACACATGTTTTTGAAAAAATCTGTGTCAGCTTCACCAGCCATTCAGTGCTTAGTGCCTGGTCTCAGGGTTTGCTGGCTTTTGTAGCAACCCATCACTAATACACTTGATTCAACAAATCTATGAATCTTCCACATCATGCTTAGCTGAATCAGGTATTTTAGTGCTGTTCTGGACCAAACGTCTAGGATCAAAAGACCGGAGTAGTTGCCCATGCCCTCAGTAGATATTTAGAGAGATTTAAATGAAGCGTATTTCTCTGTTTCCTTCTCTGTGTCCTGCAGGGGGAGTTGCTTAGCCCGTGTCGCTGTGACGGCTCTGTGCGGTGTACCCACCAGCCCTGCCTCATCCGCTGGATCAGCGAGAGAGGCTCCTGGAGTTGTGAGCTCTGCTACTTCAAGTACCAGGTTCTGGCCATCAGCACCAAGAACCCACTGCAGGTACAGGATCTGTTTGTTTCGTGCTTGTGTGTGTAAGTGACTACAAGTGCTGCACTATACCTCAGGGTTTCCGTACCAAATCCAAGGTATTCTGTGAATGCTGAAGCATCACACTCTAATGTTCCGAAAATACATACAAATATAAAAAAACACTTTTTCACATCTTCCTGCCTGCGGCTGCGTGACATCAGTGCACAGATAATTGTCTCCACCAAAAAGACACACACATTGATCCACCTCTCCCTCTCTCCCCTTCCCTCTCTCTCCTTCCACCTCCCCCTTTATCTCTCCTTCGCCCCCTCTCTCTCCCCCTCCCTCTCTTTCCCTCTCCCTCTCTGTATATCCCACCCTCTCTCTCTCTCCAGTGGCAAGCCATCTCTCTGACGGTAATTGAGAAGGTGCAGATAGCAGCCATCATCCTGGGTTCTCTGTTCCTTATCGCCAGCATCTCCTGGCTGGTGTGGTCGTCCCTCAGCCCTTCGGCCAAGTGGCAGCGCCAGGACCTGCTCTTCCAGATCTGCTACGGCATGTACGGCTTCATGGACATTGTGTGCATAGGTAAGCTAGAAGGTTCTACGACGTAGACCTCACTGATATACTATCATTTTGTGATTGCAATTGCAGGTATGTGCTGAGTTGCATATGACAAGAAAGGAGAATACCTGCATGCTCCCAGAGTTTGAATGTAGGAACGGTGGTTGAAATGTTCCAGTGTTACAGCAAGACTTGAGGTCTAGGATCTAAACAGTGTACTGATATTCTCCTTTCTCTTCATAAGCTTTTGTGATTGGTCAATCTCCTGACAGTTACTATGTCTGACCTGAACTTTGATATCGTTTTTTTACCGCTTTGGTGCAATTTTAACAAGTATGTGGTACATTTTCATAACTATTAGTACAAAACTCAAAAACAGTTAATCATAAAGGCAGTTGTTTCAAAACTCTAAGCACACTTTCAATTGACTAAGTACAACACACAAAAATCATAAAGTCACTTTTTATTTTGTTAAATAACATTTTACTGTTACATAATCTGATCGCTCTTAATTGATGATCGCTTAAACGTTTGGTAAACCTATAGATTTTACATGTAAACTGGTTTGTCTACTACATTTGTAAAGTAGAAACATAAAAAGTATGTTATTTACTCAAATGTACTACTACTATGATGACTGTTATGATTTTATTTCACAGTAAGTTTTTTTTAATCTGATATTGACAAGACCAGAGATGTGCAACAAATCAGATCAAATTGTATTAGTTGCATAAACAGATTAGCAGATGTTACAGCAGGTGTAGCGAAATGCTTATGTTTCTAGCTCCTACAGTGCACTAATACAATATCAATACAATACAATAGGAATATGCAAATATCCAGAAAGTCCGAAACAAGAAAGAAATGCATCCCCTATACCAGGGGTAGGCAACCCTGGTCCTGGAGTCCCACTTCATGTTTTTTATTTAACCGACCTGGAAGACCAGGTGTGTTGAATTAAGGCAATCACTGAACTGATTAGTTAGCTCAGTTTGTCAGGCGTGGGATCTAGTTGGAACAAAATACCTCCTACGAATCCTGCCCATCACCGGCAGGTAAAATCAAATCAAACACTGTGCGTGTCACTCAACACTCTCTCTCCTCCTCCACTGAAGTAGCATATCTTTGCTCCTTGGTGCACCTTGGAAGGAACCACTTATTAGGGAGAATAGGTGGGTACTCTTTTCCTGGTCCAGTCAGTGTGCCCCCTCCGCAAACTACAGCTGACAGATCTTTTTATAAATCATTGTTATCAAATGTGGGCTTAAAAATGAACTTGAGTTATTAATTTAACGTCTGAAAAATAAATAAAAAACTGGACAAATCTGAGGGGGCACGTGCCTAGCAACCTTGCACAATGAAAGGTTTTGAATGCAAGACTGGCTGCATTACAAGTGTTACCAGTTTGGAGTTTTGTAGTAAGAGTTTAGATTGTACCAAAGTGATAAAAAAACTATTGATTATTTTAGCGTTCATGGTCAGTTCTCCCTGTAGCTTGTCAGCTGTGTGTGTGTTTGTATAATTCAGTGAGTGAGAGCAATTTGTTTGTTTTGCTCATTTCTGTTTGGGCTTTCATCTCACTTAGGTCGTAGTCTGTGTGATATGTAATGCTGAAAATGTTCAGCCACTTCTGAAGAGCCTTGTACATCCAGACTGTTTAAATATTTACAGCATACTTGTGCAAAGGTAGCCTACAATCATTTCTGCTTGAAAAGTGTTTTTTTCCCAGAGTGTGTTCTTACTTTCTCTCCCGTCTTTCGCTTTCTCTGTGTCCTTTCGTCTGTTTCCCTCTTTGTCTGGCTATTCACACTCTGCAATCTTTCACTTCTCTCCATCTGCTTGCCTTCCTCCTCCCTACATATATTTTCTATTCGCTGTCTCTCTTTCTCCTACCTCTTGTATCGCTCCTGCATCTCTCACGTTCATACCTGTCCTCTCTCTCTCTCCCTCTCTCTCTCTTACTCGCCCATGTCTGTCTGTCCATGTCTGTCTGGTTTCTCTGTCTAGGTCTTATAATTCATGAGGGATCGTCTGTATACCGGATCTTTAAGCGCTGGCAGGCGGTGAACCAGCAGTGGAAAGTACTGAACTATGAGAAAGACAAGGACCTGGGCGACCCCATCAGCTCCAGCGGTAAGGGTGGGGGGCGTGGGGGGCGAAACCCTCCCCACAGCTCAGCCGGGGCGGACAGGGGAGGCCGGGCAGGCCAGCGTGTTAGGACTATTCTCAACCACCACTGTGGCTACACCATCCTGCACATCCTCAGCCAGCTGAGGCCCAGCGATGAGCGCATCAGCGCCACAACCAACCGCGAGGTGGTCATGAGGGTCACCACCGTATGAGACCGGACTCCGCGGGTGGGAGGGATGTGGACAACAGCCAACAACCCCCCTGATACACCTCCTTAAAACCCCCAAATGACTCTCACCTCTCGCCCCTGGCCTCAACCTCCCGCACTGAGTATCTCCCTAAGCCCAAAGTGTGGCGCAGTGAGAGTGAACAAAAACACAAGGGCATAGATGCGGACATCCTGCTTCTGATAACCCTCCTATGAGACACGAGGGGAGGGAGAGCAACACAGTTAGTGTTGTTGAAGTTACAGATAGACTGTAGGACAAAAGACAAAAAGGAAATGGCTTCGATAAATAAATAAAAAGCTGGAGGGCTTTCTTTCGCCAGCTGAATTACGCAAAGTATTGTCATTATTCCTGTTCTTCTATTTTCTAAAGAAAAAACTGCAAGTATTGTTACTGATTTAGATTTTATAATCGAGAACATGTTGAGGAAAAATGGAAAGGGACATTTTCTTACATCTGCCCTCCAAACCCATGCCACCAATGATTACCCACATCTCCTCCCCCTCCTCAACTCATCCCATCCCTGTATCACCATAACCCCCCCGCCCCCCCCCCTCTCTCTTTCTTCACGGTGTCTGTGAAAGACATTCTCTGTCCACCTGTAACACCTGAACTGTCCCTGTGGCTCAAAGCAGACAGGGAACCCCCTAAAGAATACGAGCAAAAAAGTGCAATAAAACTATTTAAAGAGATATGACTGACACAACTGAATGAGATTCTAACATTACAATTCATATTCTGCAATAAAGAAACCTGTACATGTCATGGTGAACCCCTGTGTGACGTCATAGTTTTATATTGTACACAATATTTGGTATCAATATTGTATGTTGTATTGTTTTCATCAGTTACTGTGTGAAGTTCTGAGATTTGTACCTTGGAATATTTGAATATGTTCAAGTTAACAATACAAGGTAGGTAAGCAACAATAATTAGAGTTGATCAACAGGAACAGATGTTCTTTTTTCTTTCATGGTTTGAATATAATATAAGCTAACCTCCATCGACTGGAACTGACATGGAATCAGCCCCATCTGCAAATGGTTAGGGTAAGGATTAAATTGCAGAATGGTGTGTATGATAATTTTGGCCTTTTAAAACAGAAATTGTGAAGCTTTGTGAACCCTCTATTACCACATTTTCTGGATTCTGACTAGTTTACAGAATGCAGGAGAGTGCTATGCTTACGTGTTAGAGTGGACTACATGTACCCTCACTGTTTGTGAAAAGTAATGATTTTGAAATGGTTTCAAATGATGGCTATAAGCGATTCAGTAAATGCGGAGTAGGCCAGACAGATGCCGATAAATGACCAATATAAAATATTGATGGTCTGAATAGGGTCTCTATGGGCAGCAATAATAATTTTGATATCATTAAGATAGATGAAAACAAACACAATAAAAATAACATCAAATCAAATCAAATTATATTTGTCACATGCGCCGAATACAACAGGTGTAGACCTTATTTGAAATGCTTTCTTACAAGCCCTTAACCAACGATGCAGTTTTAAGAAAAATCTGTGTTAAGTAAAAAATTTATAAGTAAAAAATAAAATAATAATAATAATTAAAGAGCAACAATAAAATAACAGTAGCAAGGCTATATACAGGGGGTACCGGTACAGAGTCAATGTGCGGGGGCACAGGTTAGTCGAGGTAATTGAGGTAATACGTACGTGTAGGTAGAGTTAAAGTGACTATGCATAGATAATAAACAGAGAGTGGCAGCAGCGTTCAGGAGTGGCTTGGGGGTAGAAGCTGTTAAGAAGCCTTTTGGAGCAGAGAGAACAGTCTATGACTTAGGGTGGCTGGAGTCTTTGACAATTTTTAGGGTCTTCCTCTGACACCGCCTGGTATAGAGGTCCTGGATGGCAGGAAGCTTGGCCCCAGCGATATACTGGGCCGTACGCACTACCCTCTGTAGTGCCTTGCGGTCGGAGGCCGAGCAGTTGCCATACCAGGCAGTGATGTAATCAGTCAGGATGCTCTCGATGGTGCAGCTGTAGAACATTTTGAGGGTCTTCCCTTTAAGTTTAACCTTTTACTGCAGTGGGCTGAATCAGGGTCACACAGAGTGATTATTGGTAGTCTTAAACAAATCTACTTTAAAACCAAAGTGTACACCTCACACATGGGCTTAAAAAAAAGAAAACACCTGTGCCATGTCAGATATAGAGTTGAAATATATACAATTTTGCATTTGCATCCCGATATTACACCTTATATACATCACAGAAGACTGATATATAACAAAACTGTTTGACATAGAAACACCGGATTTCTGTCAGTTTTTCAGAAATAATATTTATTAATTATGAAAATATGAAAAATATTGTTGGTGCTGTCATCTTCAGGACAGGAATACCGGTTTACTTAACGGAGGAATAAACACACGTTCATCGTTGGTGTTTTAACCAGAACGGGGGGAATGCCCTTTCTTTATTTTTCGCACATGTGCAGTTGTACATCTCTCATAGGGCATGACTGTACCAGTGTAAGAACACAATTTAATAACATATTAGTCTATATGTTAACACCCCCACTTGCTCTTATACTGTACAAGTCGTATTCAACCTAACTTTATCAACACATTTAGCTTACAGTTATACATCTCACAAATGTCAGTTTATATTCCAAACATATAACCCAATAATGTTTCATTTTTGAACGAGTCAAAACATCTGCAACCATGTCTGCCGTTGGACAATATTCAATACTTATTTTACCATCACTGAGTGCAGATCGAATTATATCTGATGTCGACATGTTTACATCTCTGACGACATACTGGGTCTTTGACAAAGCAATTGCACCTTGGTTATCTTCAAAGATTGTTACTGGTGCAAATTGGCACTCACTATCCATCTCGCCCAATAACTGTACAAGGTACAAACTTTCTTGTGTAGTAGCAGCCAGTGCCATGTACTCTGCTTCACATGTAGATAAAGCTACTGTTGGCTGCTTCTTAGACCTCCATGAAATAACAGGTCCACATTTAGTTAAACTAAAACAATACCCTGTTATGCTTCGTCTGTCACTTTGATCTGCTGCCCAATCAGCATCACTATATGCTACGAGGTTGAGTTTTTCCACCCCCTTTTTGTAACACAACTCCTGATTCATTGTCCCCTTCAAGTACCTCAACACATGTTTAGCTGTTATCCAGTGCTGCTCTTTTGGTTCTGATAGGTATTGTGACAGCTTGCTGACAATCCAACTGATATCCGGTCTTGTACATGTCATCACATATACAGTGAGGGAAAAAAGTATTTGATCCTCTGCTGATTTTGTACGTTTAACCACTGACAAAGAAATGATCAGTCTATAATTTTAATGATAGGTTTATTTGTACAGTGAGAGACAGAATAACAACAAAAAAATCCAGAAAAACGCATGTCAAAAATGTTATAAATTGATTTGCATTTTAATGAGGGAAATAAGTATTTGACCCCCTCTCAATCAGAAAGATTTCTGGCTCCCAGGTGTCTTTTATACAGGTAACGAGCTGAGATTAGGAGCACACTCTTAAAGGGAGTGCTCCTAATCTCAGTTTGTTACCTGTATAAAAGACACCAGTCCACAGAAGCAATCAATCAATCAGATTCCAAACTCTCCACCATGGCCAAGACTAAAGAGCTCTCCAAGGATGTCAGGGACAAGATTGTAGACCTACACAAAGCTGGAATGGGCTACAAGACCATCGCCAAGCAGCTTGGTGAGAAGGTGACAACAGTTGGTGCAATTATTCGCAAATGGAAGAAACACAAAATAACTGTCAATCTCCCTCGGCCTTGAGCTCCATGCAAGATCTCACCTCGTGGAGTTGCAATGATCATGAGAACGGTGAGGAATCAGCCCAGAACTACACGGGAGGATCTTGTCAATGATCTCAAGGCAGCTGGGACCACAGTCACCAAGAAAACAATTGGTAACACACTACGCCGTGAAGGACTGAAATCCTGCAGCGCCCGCAAGGTCCCCCTGCTCAAGAAAGCACATATACAGACCCGTCTGAAGTTTGCCAATGAACATCTGAATGATTCAGAGGAGAACTGGGTGAAAGTGTTGTGGTCAGATGAGACCAAAATTGAGCTCTTTGGCATCAACTCAACTCGCCGTGTTTGGAGGAGGAGGAATGCTTGCTATGACCCCAAGAACACCATCCCCACCGTCAAACATGGAGGTGGAAACATTATGCTTTGGGGGTGTTTTTCTGCTAAGGGGACAGGACAACTTCACCGCATCAAAGGGACGATGGACGGGGCCATGTACCGTCAAATCTTGGGTGAGAACCTCCTTCCCTCAGCCAGGGCATTGAAAATGGGTCGTGGATGGGTATTCCAGCATGACAATGACCCAAAACACACGGCCAAGGCAACAAAGGAGTGGCTCAAGAAGAAGCACATTAAGGTCCTGGAGTAGTACAAGGGTTTTGCCACCAAGTACTAAGTCATGTTTTGCAGAGGGGTCAAATACTTATTTCCCTCATTAAAATGCAAATCAATTTATAACATTTTTTTGTTGTTATTCTGTCTCTCACTTTTCAAATAAACCTACCATTACAATTATAGACTGATCATGTCTTTGTCAGTGGGCAAACGTACAAAATCAGCAGGGGATCAAATACTTTTTTCCCTCACTGTATCAAGCTGCCTATCACTTCACAATACCTTTTTGAATCAATAGGTTCACCATCACCATCAAAGTTTTGTTTTTGTTCACATGGTGTTGACCTTGTTTTACAGTCTGACATACCAAACCTTTCCAGTATCTTGGTTATGTATGTCTCAGTCTCATCTGAATTGTTTTTGACCGCATAGACCCACCTGCCCCCCACTGCATTTTTACCCTCTGGCAGTGTGGTCAATGTGAATGTATCATCCTTCATAGCAGTAGCCCAAATCTCTGATTTTGGTGAAATCATTGCTTCTTTGAAGGTTTGTGGTGCATTGCACATTACTCTGTAGCAGTAGTCAACAC